TTATAATATTTAAATTCTCCTTAGTCCAATAACTTAGTTAATATCTTAATTCTACTACTTAATAATATTACTTATTTTGTATGGACACAGTAAGAGATAACATTAATCTTATAGGATGACTCTCCTGGGAACATCTTGCTATAGATCTCAGACTACTGTGCTCAGGCCAGATTAGTCTTTCCTAACCCTAGCAGTGTCCTAATCCAGTTGTTACTTTTTGGATCATGACAGAATTTGCCCATGACCGTGCTCTTAACTTATAGTTAAGTATTATGGGTCTTGACCTGGCTTATTTCAATGCCAGGGTAGCTCACAGCTTGCCCTGGGTCCATCCAGTCCCTCGTCAGGACCCTGCTTTGGGGGTGCTAGGAAGTAAGGGCAACTGAGGCTTAAGTCAAGAAAACCGATGCCCAGGAGTGAATATTATCTGGAGTCAATTAACTCCCAAGTTACAAAAGCATAGCATTAACTGTCTTACTGTGTCTATACAAAAAGAACTTTGCTCTGAATGCAAAGGACATAAGGAGAAGAGAAAAGCAATATTTACAAGTTAACAGAGTCTGATTAGGAGATAAAGGTGATTGACTGGCTGAGGAAGCAGAGCACAAAGAAAGGGGTTACAAATAAATACAGGAATGGGAGCACTCTGATGGGAGTAACCCAATAAACCTAAGCTCCCTGTGGCAAGGCAGAAGGGACAAACCAATGTTATCCTACAGATGGGTGACAAATTGACATCATAAACTTATGCAGTTTACACTGCAGATGTATGGTTTTACAAGTTTTACATTAGGAAATTTCTCTATCCGACTTTCATTAGCTTATTATTTCTACATTGTCATAGTTTATAATATTTAAATTCTCATTTCCAAGCATAATTTCCACAATATTGTTTGGAGCTAGAAATTCAAATTTTGTTTGTAAGATTTTACCATTTAACTTGTGTTTAGTTGAAGCTGAGCTTCATTATTTGTTGTTGTCTTTTGTTTTGGGGAGACCACACCTGGCAATGCTCAGGGTTACTCCTGGATCTGCACTCAGGAATTACTCCTGGCAGTGCTGGGGGACCATGTGGAATGCCAGGGATGGAACCAGAAGGGCTGTGTATAACGCAAGCACCCTCCACATATCCGCTGTCCTATGCTCTGACTCTGAGCTTCTGCACTTTTATTTATTTATTTATTTATTTTTTAGATTTACAATTTTTTGTGCTTGGGTTTAGATTATACAATGATCAAATACCCATCCCCCCACCAGTGCCCATTTTCCACCACCATGGATAATATCCCTCCCACCCCCATCCCTCCCATCTCACCCTGCTTCTGTGGCAGGGCGATCCCTTGTGTTCTCTCTCTCCTTTTGGGTGTTGTGGTCTGCAAAAGAGGCTTTGAGTGGCAAACATGTTCAGTCCATAGTCTACTTTCAACATGTATCTCCCCTCCTGGGAGGATCCTCCAAACACCCTTTATTTGGTGCTCCCTTCTCTATCTGAGCTGCCCTTTCCCCTAGAATGCCCGGCTGGCCTCTAAGCTAAGGAGTAAACCTCCCGGTGCTGATCTCAGCTATTCTTGGGTATTAATCTCATACTTTGTTACTTTATATCCCCCAGATGAATGCAATCTTTCTATGTCTATCCCTCTCTTTCTGACTCATTTCGCTTAGCATGATACTTTCCATGTTGTACCACTTGTACATAAATTTCATGACTTCATCTTTTCTAAGAGCTACATAGTACTCCATTGTGTAGATGTACCAAAGTTTCTTTAACCAGTCATCTGTTCTTGGGCATTCAGGTTTCTTCCAGTTTCTGGCTACTGTAAAGAGTGCTGCAATGAACAAACAAGTGCAGATGTCACTTCGACTATACGTTTTTGCCTCTCTGGGATATATTCCCAGGAGTGGTATTGCTGGGTCAAATGGGAGCTTCTGCACTTTTAAAGGAAGGGCTCATAGGAACTATATTTCCTGAGTTAATTGTATCATTGTATCACTGTCATCCTGTTGTTCATCCATTTGCTCAAGTGAGTGGGTGCCAATAATATCTCCATTTGTCCCTGTCGTGTGCTAGTGTAGCCTGATGGCATATTGGGGGCTCTTTCAGGGTCAGGGGAATGAAGACCATCATTGTTACTATTTTTGGCATATCCATTACACCGCGGGTAGCTTGCCAGGCTCTGTCAAGCAGGCGGAATACTCTCAGTAGCTTGCCGGGCTCTCTGAGAGGAATGGAGACTTTTGGGGTGGCCTCTAATTGCCTTGGGTGTTCCCAGTCAGGCATATATATATATTTCCCTCTATGATTTGTTGCCTACTCATTTTCCATAATTGCCACACCATATTTGATGGGGTTCAGACAGTAGGCAACAAATCATAGAGTTCATTGTAATATAAACAATAAAAAGGAAATCTATAATTTTCATTTCATTTCATTTCATCATCCTGTTATTCGTCGATTGCCTCGAGCAGGCCCCAGTAACGTCTCTTTCATCCTAACCCTGAGATTATATTCAAGGCTATTTAGGAGAATGAGACCCATCATTGTTACTGGTATTTGGCATATTTGGTACGCCACGGGGAGTTTGCCAGACTCTGCCCTGTGGGCAGGCTACATTCGATAGCCTGCAAGTTTGTCCAAAGTAGGAATAACACAATAAGATGTCATAAAAAAAGTTCTGTTAGGATGTCGCGCGGCCGCGCGGTTCCGGGATCTGGATTTTATAGTCTCTGAGTCTTGGCCGCTGATGGGATTACACGGCGCCAGGGGGCCAGGTGGTGGGTGTGACCCCCGCCTACTGGAATTTGGAGGATCTGGGTGGAAGATGCTCGACTCCAATTCGAGTAGGCTTGGAGGTCTCGGCCCCGGAACCCGCGTGGCTTTGTCCCTCTGCCAGTACCTTCATGTGTGCGGAGAGTGGTCTCAGCATGGTGGTGGCTGGTCCTGGAGGTCTTCGGCTGCCGGAGCCCTGGTCGGGGCGGGGAGGAAAGCTCAACCCGCTCCCCTCCAAGGGACTCCGGGAAGGAACACCCAGGCGCGGGGCAGAGACTGCACTGCTCTCGTCCGGGATCTGGATTTTATAGTCTCTGAGTCTTGGCCGCTGATGGGATTACACGGCGCCAGGGGGCCAGGTGGTGGGTTCAGACAGTAGGCAACAAATCATAGAGTTCATTGTAATATAAACAATAAAAAGGAAATCTATAATAATAGATTTTTAAAAATCTATTTCAAAAATACAGTTGAATGTATACTAACCTGAGATTTATTTGATATGTGATATGACTATAAACTAACTTGTAATCCACAGAAATATACACTAGCTAGTAGAACAATTGCTTCTTTAAACTTTAGGAGTTGGAAATGTCCTAGAGATAAATTGAGAGATTTGTTTTCCCGGGCAGAGAGGCAGTCAAGTGGGTAGGGTGATTGTCTTGCAGGTGGCTCACTGGGATTCCCCGTTTGATCCACAGCACCCCAGGGTTCAGCAGGAGTTATCCCTGAGTGCAGGGCTCGGAAAAAGCCCTGAGCACAGCTGGGTGTGTCCCCCCCACCCAAATGAGCTGGCCCCTGTGGGGTTAGAGAAGTAAATTCAATATCTAGAGTGCCATTTTTGCATGCAGGAGGCGTAGGGCTCAGTTCCTAGTGCCACATGTCCCCCGGCAGTGCAACCAGGAGCAATCCCCCGAGCACAGACTTGGAGAAATCCCTGAGTACCACAGGGTGTGGCCCCCCAAAAAAACCCCAAAATAACAGGGTCCATAAGACACTAGAACCGCGGGTCGGGCGCTTGCTCTGAGCTGGGTTTTGGCTGCTTCCCACCAACTTCTATGGTCCCCAGTAGGGTGTGACCCCCAAACAGCACCCCTCCCCCACCACAAAAACAAACAAACAGGGGGCTGGAGCAATAGTACAGCGGTAAGGTGTTTCCCTTGCACACGGCCTACCAGGGTTCGATTTCCAGCATCCCATATGGCCCCCTGAGCACCGCCAGGGGTAATTCCTGAGTGCAGAGCCAGGAGGAACCCCTGTGCCTCCCCAGGTGTGACCCAAAAAGCAAACAACAACAACAACAACAAACAAAAAGCAAACAACAAACACATGATTTCCGTTGAGGAAACGGAGACTCCTATGGGTCATGTGTAGGCGATCAGATCAATGGCAAATCCGTCTGCAGACTGGAAAGATGCTGGAGGTGGGAGCACGTGGGTTTGCAGGAGACAGGACACCAGGCAACGAGGCGGACGGAAGCTTCGAGAAGCGGGCGCCAGGGCGTCAGTCGCTCGACTTAGGCAGAACCAGGCCGGCCCAGGGCGCTCCGATGTGCAGCCCACCGACTGCCCGTCCACGCCTCGCCCCCGTCTGCGCCCCTTCCAGCCCCAGACGCCCGCGGCCCGGGGCGCTGCGATACGTGGCCGCCAGGGAGCAGCACCGGCCCGCGGGTCCGCTCAGCGCCCGCCGTTTGCCGGGGCTTTCGCTTTTTCGCTTTTTTTCGCGAAACCCGAATTGCTGCTCCAAGGCGCCCCGCTCGGGAGAGAAACCGGGAGGGAGAAAAGAGAGACCCGCGGGAGCAGGGGCGCCGCTGACCGCTCCCCCCCCGAGAGGGACACTGCCCGTCCTCCGGCCGGTGCTGGGCTTCTTCCCCCGAGGATGTCCAGCGCGGGCGCGTCCGTCTGTCCCTCCGGGATGCCCGTGGCCGCGTGCAGGGGGGAGGCGAGGCGGGCAGGGCGGGCGAGGTGACCCCCGCACCGGACTCGGGGGTCAGCAGCGGCCCCGCACCGGATCCGAGCGGCCACGACGGCGGGCGGCGGACCTGACCTCACCCCCACCCCAGCCCCGGGACGCCCCTTCGGGAAAAGCTTCGGGGGCGCCCACCCCGCGGCCCCCGCAGCGCCCCCCTCGGGCTCCGCGGCCCGGGAAGGCGTGTTGGGGGGAGGGAGGGGTCCTCGCTGGGCGCCCCGAGGAGGCCGGGCAGGGCCGGCCCCGCCCCGCCGCGACGGGAAGTGATGTGGGGCCCGGGCCGAGCACCCCAAGGCTGGAGGCGCACGGGCGCGCGGGCGCAGGTGAGCGGGGGGCGCGGGCGAGCGGAGGGGCGCAGGTGAGTGTGAGGTGCAGGTGAGCGGGGTCGCCGAGGGCAGGTGAGCGGGGGCGCAGGTGTGGGACCCCCCCCCCCCGGGGGCACGGGGCAGGGGACCCCGCGGGCAAGGGGACGGACTCGAGTCTTGCCCTGTCCTGTGCCGCTGGCTCCCACCCTGGGTGCCTTTAGCGGGGTCACCGCACTCTCTCCCCTCTTTGTGGGGGGATCTGATGGGCCCGTGGGTGGCGGGGGCTTCCCCAGCCCAGCGAAGCCACCGAAGCCTCCGGGGGTCCGGTGTGATTACAGGCCTTGGGACCTGTTGCGCGCCCGGTCTCTGTCCCAACAGATCCGCTTAGCAAAGCCGGCAGCGGTGGCGATGCTGGGGGCCCTCGTCCCTGCAGGCCCCCAGCCGGGCCCCTGCGCAGGGGTTGGGAGAGAGGAGCAAGATTATGCTAGATCCCCCGCCCCCCTTTGCAGGTTTAACTGGTGATTAGCACCCCTAGTAATTGGGGGTGGAAGGGATAGGGTTACTCTAGACAGCCCAAAGCAAAGGTGAGTCTGATGCCCAAACCATTTGACATCGGTCTTTTCTGTATCTTTTAGGCTGTTTTCCTTTTTCTTGCCTTGACTTCCAGGGCCAGACTGGGTCTTTTACTCCTAATGAACTATCAATAATTCATCGTTTTTTTTTTCTCTTTTGTGGCGTGTGCTTTGGGCGAGAATGCATTTACCAAAGTCATGACGTTGTGTGTCTGTTTTCTTTCCAACGTGTTAGGTTTTAGCCATCAAATTCCAAAACTTCTCATCTAATTTTCATATGTGAGATGGAATAAGGCCCCTCTGCTTGTGGCTGTGCTCAGAGGGCTCTGCTAAATACATCCCCCCCCCCCCCCACACACCCCCTTGTGTGGTCTTGTGTTGTGTTGAAGATGACAGGACTGCAAAGCTGAGGTGTATCTGTGGGGTTTCAGTTCTACTTCTTTGGTCTCTGTCCTTGATTACCATTCTGTAGTTAAGTTCTGAAATCTGGAAGACCAAGTCACCCCCCCACCCCCCCAACACTAAAACTGTCGCCCTCTTTGCCCCAAGATCTGGATGTTCTGATTTCTGATTTCCTTGAAAACTTCCAAGTTTCCTATCTGCTTCTCCTTTTGCTTTGACCTTAGAACAGGTGTAAGGGATTTGGTGTTGGGTGCTGGGAGCTGAACCCAGAGGCCACACACTGAGGGCCGCAGAGCGAGGCCTTTCCAGCCCTACCCCCAGGACTGCAAACTCTGGAGAAACTGGACTCCCTAATTTTCTCCTCCAAACCTGCTTTCCCCTTCCTACCCCACCTCGTATCCGGAAACTCAGCTTTCCCGGTTGCTCCAGCTGGACCCCACAGTGAGCCCCAAGGACCCTCTCTCCCCAGCCCCACACCATCCCACAGCAAATCTCACTGGTTCTACTGGGAGAAGAGCAGAAACACCAGTTTTCACCACTTTCACAGTTTCCATTATTTAGCTAAAACTTTTTCCACTCACGATGCTGTTTCACTTTTTTTTTGTGACCACCAGATATTTAGAGATATAAAATAGGTATATAAATCAAACATTTACTGACAATTTATAGTATTTGTTTTTTGGGGGGGTCATGTTTCCCAGTACTCAGAGCTTACTCCTGGTTTTGTGCTCGGAGGTCACTCCTGGCAGTGATTGGAGGACCCTCTCAGTGCTGGGGATCAAATTGGGGGGCAGCTGTATGCCAGGCAAGAGCTTTAACCTCTGTGCTATCTTCCCAGCCCCAATATGTAGCACTGCACTGTAGCACTGTCGTCCCATTGCTCATTGATTTTCTCGAGTGGCACCAGTAATGTCTCCGTTGTGAAACTTGTTGTTACCGGTTTTGGCATATCAAATATGCCATGGGGAGCTTGCCCGGCTCTGCCATGCGGGCGAGATACTCTTGGTAGCTTGCTGGGCCTCTGAGAGGGATGGAGGAATTGAACCCAGGTTGGCCTCATGCAAAGCAAATGCCCTACCTGCTGTGCTCCAGCCTACCCCCAATCTTGTCACTGTCACTGTCCTCCCGTTGTTCATCGATTTGCTTAAGCAGGCCCAGTAACGTCTCCATTGTGAGACATGTTGTTACTGTGTTTGGCATATTGAAAACGTCACGGGTAGATATTAGTAGTTTTTTTTTTCCAATGCCACATGTCTTTGTCTTTGATCACTCTACCCTTTCCTTACTTATTTTCAGCCATACCTTAGGACCTTTGCTCTTAGCTGTTTTCTCTCCAGAATGCTCTATTTTTATCTATTATTTATTTTGTGTGTGTGTGGAGGGGGATGGGGGGGCCATACTGGCAGTGCTCAGGACTGAACCAGGTTGGCCAGCTTGCAAAGCAAGAGTAGTAGCTCCTGCTTAACTCTCCAGCTCTGCACAGAACAACATTTGGAATCCTTTCCAGTATTATCAGGCATATGTGAAGCACTTGAAAAGTAGGTGCTGAGTGACTGAGGAGGGGATGGAGAGTGAGGAGTGGATTACTCTCCTGTTTCAGTTTCTTTCCATCTTATCTGCAGGAAGCCACGTCCATAGTCAGGCTCATGTCCCAAGTCTCTCCTCTTAGCTTCTGAGTTCCCCTTGGAAGCAGTGTTCTTGTTGTAGAGGAGAAGGTGTTGCGTGGAAGGGGAAGGGCTTGGGTTCCTTCTCATGCAGCAGCAGGAAGTTCTCTCTGTGCCCTGAAATGGGAGGCCACCGGCCATTCCTCCACTACTTGGCTCACCTGGGGAGTGACAGGTATTCTTCGGAGGTAAGGTAAAGGTAAAGGTAAAGGCCCTCCCGTTGATCGTCGATTTGCTCGAGCGGGCCCAGTAACGTCTCCATTGGAGACTTTGTTGTTACTGTGTCTGGCATATCGAATACTCTCGGTAGCTTGCCGGGCTCTCCGAGAGGGGCGGAGGAATCGAACTCGGGTCGGCCATGTTGGCCGCTTGTAAGGCGAACGCCCTACCCGCTGTGCTATCGCTCCAGCCCATTCGGCTAGTCCGAAAGTAGTGAGTGGTCGCAAGGTCAACCTAAAGTCAACCTGCAGCAAACTATAAACTAAACAAATATATTCTTCGGAGATTCAAGAAAAATCCATCTCTGCTCCTACCCTGTAGTGAATTTGTCTTTCTCTGGCTTCTATCTAAAACCACCAACTTAGGTGCTGGAGGTGTAGCACAGAAGGTAGGGTACTTGCCTTGCATACAGCTCACCTAGGTTCGATCCCCAGCACCGCATATGATCTCTTGAGTCCAACAGGAGTGATCCCTGAGTGCACTCTGAAACTTGTATTTTTATTTTTACTTTTTTTTTTTTTGGATCACACCCAGCTATGCTCAGGGGTTACTCCTGGCTTTGCACTCAGGAATTACTCCTGACGGAGCTTGGGGGAACATATGGGATGCCAGTGATCGAACCCAGGTTGGCCACGTGCAAGGCAAACACCCTACCTGCTGTGTTATCGCTCCAGCCCCTGTATTTTTACTTTTAATGACTTATTACATCAGGACTGCCAACTGTTCATGTGTTTATCACCCTATTTCCATGACTAGACATAGTACCCTAGAGGACAAGCATAACTTCAGCTTATTTCTGAACTTGTTTGGGGGCCACACCTAGCTATGCTCAGGGATGACCCCTGCTCTGTGCGCAGGGATCATTCCTGGCAGTGCTGGGGGGATGGAATGTCATGCCGGGAATCAAACCCGGGTTGGCCTGTGTCAGGCAAGCACCTTGCTCGCTCTACTGTCTTGTCAGCTCTTAACACTGAGATTTTCTTAGCCAATCGCTGTATCTTTTTTAGTCCATCTTACTCAGTTGCTGCTGATACAGTTGGTTACTGTTGAGTGAGGTTTCCTCCTGCCCTTTTACACTGAAATCAAATTTATTTATTTATTTTTGAAATCAAATTTAACTAGGTTAATTTATATTAGTTATATAAAATCTGTTTTCCATTGTTTTTAAACTTTTTAAAAACTGATCTTATATCTTCATGGAAAAATATAAAAAAGGATTGCACACATATATAGACTTGAGATATACATAACATATATATCCCAGTGGATTATATATTTTGATGAGTGTGATCCCTCATGAAAAATAACATTTGCTTGTGTAAAGTGTTAGCCCTCACTAACTAGAATTCTTCAATATCATATGTAATATTTTATATTCTTTGTGTATGGGTATAAAATATTTTATATATATGTCGCAAGTATATCAAATCACTGCAGCATATTCTAAACATGTTTTATCATTTAGCTGTCGGTTACACCTCAAAAAAGCTGAAATTGAAATAAAGTATGAGCCCTTAAGAAGCAAGATGGCCCTGTCATAATAAAACAGAAAGGAAACATTTTTTTTCCTTTCACTGTTTTTGCCTTTTCTGCCGCCTCCTCATTTTGCTTGGATAACACTTGGTCCTTGGCTGCTGGGCAGGAAGTGAGAGTTTCTGGTCTGGTTTCCCTTAAGCTGATTAGCTGGGAGCAGACGTGAGCGGGGTCTGGAGGGCGAGATAAAGACTGGCTAATGAACCCTGTGCAGCGTGAACACCCGCTGGAGTGCCCTTTGGTGAGATCAGGCTCAGGCACACCATGTCCCCTCTGCTAACTGCAGAGTTAGCCACAGACAGTCTCTGTCACTTCACTGCCTCTTTAGTAAAATGCAGTGCCTGGCTTATTCAAGAGGAAAGTTGAAAGTTCTTTTTTCCTGTTGGTTTTTCCCCTTGGTGTGCATTGCTCTTGAGAAAGGCTTTAGGTTAGTGTCTCAGCCGCTGCCAGAACCACCCACAGGTATGCAATGAGACTTTTTTTTTTAATTGCATCACTGTGAGATACAGTTACAAGCTTTCATATTTGGGTTACAATCACACAATGATCAAACACCCATCCCTCCATCAGTGCACATTCCCCACCACCAATATCCCCAGTATACCCCACCCCCTTGTCACCCTCCCCC